TGGTGTCGGGGGGGGCCGCAGGAGTCACCCCCCAGCATTGGTGTCGGGGGGGGCCGCAGGAGTCACCCCCCAGCATTGGTGTCGGGGGGGGGCCGCAGGAGTCACCCCCCAGCATTGGTGTCGGGGGGGGGGCCGCAGGAGTCACCCCCCAGCATTGGTGTCGGGGGGGGCCGCAGGAGTCACCCCCCAGCATTGGTGTCGGGGGGGGGGGCCGCAGGAGTCACCCCCCAGCATTGGTGTCGGGGGGGGCCGCAGGAGTCACCCCCCAGCATTGGTGTCGGGGGGGGGGGCCGCAGGAGTCACCCCCCAGCATTGGTGTCGGGGGGGGGGCCGCAGGAGTCACCCCCCAGCATTGGGTGTCATTGGTGTCGGGGGGGGGGGGCCGCAGGAGTCACCCCCCAGCATTGGTGTCGGGGGGGGCCGCAGGAGTCACCCCCCAGCATTGGTGTCGGGGGGGGCCGCAGGAGTCAGTCACCCCCAGCATTGGTGTCGGGGGGGGGGGGGCCGCAGGAGTCACCCCCCAGCATTGGTGTCGGGGGGGGCCGCAGGAGTCACCCCCCAGCATTGGTGTCGGGGGGGCCGCAGGAGTCGCCCCCAGCATTGGTGTCGGGGGGGCCGCAGGAGTCACCCCCCAGCATTGGTGTCGGGGGGGGCCGCAGGAGTCACCCCCCAGCATTGGTGTCGGGGGGGGCCGCAGGAGTCACCCCCCCAGCATTGGCATTGGTGTCGGGGGGGCCGCAGGAGTCACCCCCCAGCATTGGGGGGGGCCGCAGGAGTCCCCCCAGCATTGGTGTCGGGGGGGGGGGGCCGCAGGAGTCACCCCCCCCAGCATTGGTGTCGGGGGGGCCGCAGGAGTCGCCCCCAGCATTGGTGTCGGGGGGGCCGCAGGAGTCGCCCCCAGCATTGGTGTCGGGGGGGGCCATTGTGTGTCGGGGGGGGCCGCAGGAGTCGCCCCCAGCATTGGTGTCGGGGGGGCCGCCCCCAGCATTGGTGTGGGGGGGGCCGCAGGAGTCGCCCCCAGCATTGGTGTCGGGGGGGCCGCAGGAGTCGCCCCCAGCATTGGTGTCGGGGGGGCCGCAGGAGTCGCCCCCAGCATTGGTGTCGGGGGGGGGGGGCCCCCAGCATTGGTGTCGGGGGGGCCGCAGGAGTCGCCCCCAGCATTGGTGTCGCCCCCAGCATTGGTGTCGGGGGGCCGCAGGAGTCGCCCCCAGCATTGGTGTCGGGGGGGGGCCGCAGGAGTCGCCCCCAGCATTGGTGTCGGGGGGGCCGCAGGAGAGTCGCCCCCAGCATTGGTGTCGGGGGGGCCGCAGGAGTCGCCCCCAGCATTGGTGTCGGGGGGGGCCGCAGGAGTCGCCCCCAGCATTGGTGTCGGGGGGGGCCGCAGGAGTCGCCCCCAGCCCCCAGCCCCAGCATTGGTGTCGGGGGGGGCCGCAGGAGTCGCCCCCAGCATTGGTGTCGGGGGGGGCCGCAGGAGTCGCCCCCAGCATTGGTGTCGGGGGGGGGCCGCAGGAGTCGCCCCCAGCATTGGTGTCGGGGGGGGGCCGCCCCCAGCATTGGTGTCGGGGGGGCCGCAGGAGTCGCCCCCAGCATTGGTGTGGGGGGGGGGGCCGCAGGAGTCACCCAGCATTGGTGTCGGGGGGGCCGCAGGAGTCACCCCCAGCATTGGTGTCGGGGGGGCCGCAGGAGTCACCCCCAGCATTGGTGTCGGGGGGGCCGGAGTCACCCCCAGCATTGGTGTCAGTTTGAACGCAATTGAGCGCGTGAGGGGGGAGAATTGAACTTGGGCAAGGTTCACTTAGACCAGTCCAAGCACTAAGTGCGCTTCTGCTTTTAAAGGAAATCTGTACAGAAGAAATGTGTGAAATGTTGTGATCTTCTGTGCTTCGTGTCTCAGCCTGAAAAGGGCCATATTGTTGAAAAAATTAAACTTCAATCAAAAATGTAAACATCTGAGATGATTATTAGATGCAACCAGTCATGTCTGAAAAGGCCGGGCTTTAATATACACTGTTGGCTGTTGCACTCTTTAGATCGCTACAATTTCTCATTGCAGAATAACTGGGCTTGCTGCTTTAATGTTTTAGGTTCTGGTGCTGTATATAACTGGGGTATCTGCGTGAGATATCTTGAAATGAAATTTAGAAGGCCCTTTGCAAAACTACAGACCAAGTTGTTTTACCATGTCTTCACTTAACACTGACCTTTTTATAAATGAATAGAAGCCTGCCGGCTTCATCCAGAACTGGCTGCTCCACATAGGAAGCATTCACAGAACAGCTTGGAAACGGTGTGTAGGTGTATACGCTGTTACATCTCCCCAGGATGGAGTACTGTGAAGTAGGATGATGTCATCTCTGAGTCTGTTCAGGAGCCAGTCAGCATAGTCTTTAAATGGCAGCAAATTCCCTTTGTTGTTTTGTACCCACAGGCAAGCTTATAATGAGGCTTACCTGTAGGTACAGTAAATGCCTCCTAAATGTTCATCACGTAGGAGATGTTTACATGTGAAGCAGCCAGTGACGTTACCGGTGCATGCGCACTGCACTCTCAATGGTCGGCATGCTGTCTATTCAGGCAGCTGTTCTGCACAGTGATGACATTGCATGCTGACAGAGGGGAAGACCTGCTTTAAGGGGGGGGGGTTGCTTAGCTACATGTTGCATGTTGAAACCCTAAATATGGATGTAACTTGTTGCTAAAGGAAGAAGTTGGCCTTTTAAGGTCCGGTTCACATCTCCCATAGCTACGACTTGTGTTCCCGCTCGAACGTTTGTGTGCATAGTTTTGAATGGGCTGCCCTATGCATGTTTGTTGCGCAAAAGAAACTCATGCATCTTTTGGGTGACAAGCTTTGTGTGTTGGTTTTTTTTTTTTTTGCACGATTCTGTTGAGCAACAGTCATGGCAAAATTGCACCGTATTTGTGGTGCCATTAAGAATGTATGGCATTCAAACACATGCTTGTGCGGTTTGGAATCGCAGGCAGAATGGCAGTGATTCCAAATCAAGTGTGAGGGCCTTAGATGGAAGGTTGTGGTTTGGTTTTTTTTTTTTTGTTTTTCGTTTTTTTTTTCTGGTTACAAGCTAGAAATAGTTCAGTAAAGTAGAAAGCTGTTTATCTGTCTCTTTTGGATACATTTTGTAGATGATTGACATAACCCATAGTTCTCATGTGGCTAAATGGTTAGCACTTCTGCCTGGGAGTACTAGGGCCGTTGGTTCGAATCCCAGCAACGGCACCACCTGCATGTTTGCATGTTCTCCCTGTGCCTGTGTGGGTTTCCTTCGGGTACTGCGGTTTCCTCCCACACTCCAAAGACATGCTGGTAGGTTAATTGGCTCCTGTCTAAATTGGCCCTAGTGTGTGTATGTATGAATGTGAGTTAGGGACCTTAGATTGTACACCCTTTTGAGGGTTAGGGACTGATGTGAATGTACAATATATATGTAAACCACTGCGTAAATTGACGGCGCTATAGAAGTACCTGAAATAAATAAAAACCATAGCAGAAAATCCTACTTCAGTCGAGCTTTGTTGATCTGCACAGTTCAATGTAGGCTCAATGCCAGGGAACGCGGTAAACAATGCTGCCTTGAGGTGGATTGCAGTACCCTGTATAAAATTGCTGCTTTTTATTGCAACACACTGCAGCTCACCTGAAGTCACTGCTCTGGTATATAGAAATATATGAAATGGCATTTTGTGACATTTCAATATGGTTGCAAAAAAATTGTAAATGGTGCCTTGTGTTGCAATGCAAAGCACTGCTCATACACAATGGATACTAGCTGTTTTAGCACCACTTGTTTTAGTTAAGGCCTTTAATTTTACTAATACTGAGCATGAGCCTTTTCTCCATAATATCTCTGATCAGGAGCAATCATCCATTTTTTTTTCTTTTTTTTTTGTCCTGTAAAGGGAATATAGTGGGTCTAAAGTAGATTGAAAGCATGTAACTATATAATGGTAGACATAAGCACGGCGGCAGGGGGTGCTTTACATTTTTTTAAATTTATTTTAATGTTTATTTGAAACCTTTTTATTATTTTAATGTTTGGTTTTTTTTTTTTGTTTTTGTTCAGTTGCTGTCACAAGAGATGAACATCCCTTGTGAAAGCATGGGCCTGTGACAGGTCCTCTTTATGGAAAGATCTGGGGTCTATTAGACCCCATTTCTCTTCTCTGGCCTCCATTGCAGCTGATCAGGCACAGATTGGTCTGATCAGATGCTTTCCTGGCTGTTAATGGCCAGGTAAACAAAGAACCAAAACCAGAAACTGAGGATTTCTGGGGGTCATAGGGAGGAACAGCGTCTGTTCTGGTCTCTGTTTAGTGCCGTCATCGCAGTGATGCCCTGGAAAGGCGATTTGGGGGGGGGGGGGGGGCTTTTTGTGGCCCGCAGAAGTGATCGAGTTTCTCTTCAGCCACTCAAATCACTTCTGCTGAAGAGGGAATTGCCGGCAGAATAATCTGATATCAGGATGATGCTTGCAGGTGCTTACTTCATCCCGGTGTAATCACTTCAACCCGAGGATGTCTTTATGTCCTACAGGCGGGAAGTGGTTAAACCACCACACAGCACAGTTATTGCAAACTATACTTATGGCCATTGTCCTTTCCATTTTTCTGTTGGGTTGTGGTGGGCTGTGTCTAATTCACCCTACATTAAAACAATACCCGCTGCACAGGCTGGAAGGAAGAAGACGACCTTATTGAAAGTGATGCATGTACTCTCATTCCAAAAGACAGCAATACAAAATACATTTTCAGAACTTTGACAGGATAGGTTAGAATGGGATTACTTGAGTTATACGCCAGTTCTGGGAAATATTCCAGCCCAAGTATGGAAACACTGTGTTCTGTGCAGGTTGCATAATACAGAAATCCTTCTCATTTATAATTTTTATAGAAGGTGCATTTTGTAGGTGCACTCCTTTACCTTTTATTGAACTCCTGTCTGTAATCCTTGCCAGTAATCTACTGCATTATTTTTTATACAGGAAGATGAAAAGTTTTTGTCAGAAGTCTTTGCACAGTTGACTGACGAAGCTACCGATGATGACAAGCGGCGTGAGTTGGTAAGCAGGAAAGGCCTTGACCAGCGCACATTTTGCAGTACAATGAAGGACAATGTTGTGTAGTTTGTGTTTCTGTAGTTGCAAAACTAATTCTCTTATATTTACAGTCATTATCTTTTCCTTCCAAAGGTCAACTTCTTCAAAGAGTTCTGTGCATTTTCACAGACATTGCAGCCTCAAAATAGAGATGCTTTCTTCAAAACATTGGCAAACCTAGGAATACTTCCAGCTTTAGAAATTGTCATGGTAAGACTTGTAACAATATTCTTCTTTTAACCACTTGCCGTCCACCTTATAGCGGATTTACTGCTACAGGGCGAACTTTCTATTCTGCTGTAGGGGGTGCACAGGGTCCGCTGGAGTGCTGATTCTGCTGTGATTGGACACAGCGGAAGCCAATCAGCAGGTGCCAGCCCATGGATGAGCGGCAGCACCCGTTGATCGCCTAGGAGAGTGACAGAACACAGCTATGTCAACCAGGCTGAGCTGTGTTCGGTCACCGGCGATCTGCTAGCTTTTCTTTCCCTGCAAAGCATGGAATAAAATCTAGCAGATTGCCTAGTGAAAACCACACTGTGTACACAAAACAAATGGCTAGGCACACAGTTAACCCTTTGCCCTAAATATTTATTCTCTTCCCAGCCAGTGTCATTAATACAGTGACAGTGTATACTTTTAGCATTGATCACTGTAGTGTCACTGGTTCCCACAGTGTCAGTGTCAGACTGTTCACTGCAATATTGCTGATCGCCGCCATTACTAGTATTAAAAAAAAAAAAAAAAAAAAAAAAAAAATTAGTGTGTGTATATGTATGTATGTATGTATGTGTGTATATCCCTAGTTTCTAGACACTAACCAATCAGTATACACCTATTGAGATACATTTTGGCCTAAATTTAAGAAGAAACTTGATGTTTTATTGCAGAAAGTGTAATGTAATTTTTATATATATATATATATATATATATATATATATATCCCTTTTTATGCCACAAAAAAAATTAATTAATCCTAATGGCACCCGCATGCACTGAAATCACAGCGTGGCTTTCCGCACTAGGAGCTGCATTGAACTTACTGTCTCCGTGCAGGCCAGGTTTTCAAAAATGGCGCAAGGACCTTTTTTTCTTGTGTTTTTCAGGGGGCAAAGCAGCCCATTCCCTAGCCTAAATGTGATGCTTGGCATGACCTCCTCATTCTTTGCATGCCTGTTGATTCTTTAGGTGGACTTAAACAAGAGATTTGCTTTGTTATAGGGAATACTTTTATAGCATTACCATTATTGCTGCTTAATTAGTTTTTTGGAAGATCTTACTGTATGTACATGTGCTATCTATCTTCGAAGCTATCTCCTATCTTGAAACTAGTCTTAAAAATGAAGAGGATGAGGCCTTTTTGGAATGCTGAAAGAATCCCTAATTCTGCCAAATTTCAAATTAAGACAATCAGGCAGCAATTTGAGCCTTGGGTGGCAATGTTGACACCACCTGGCTTGACAAGTTGATTTTTCAAAGAGCTGGGTGGAAAATTGCAGGCCCAACAGTGAATGCATCCAATGCTGTCACTCTTTGGCTATTCTTACAGCCGCAGGTGCTGGCTATCAGAATACAATGGCCAGCAGTAGAAATGCAACCAGGAAAAAAAACCCTGGGACTTAATGCAGAACCACACATGAAGAAAATGTATCTAAAAGGCAAAATGCCAATTTTTATTATGCAGTAAAAGCATAAAAATATGAAAAATGCTTATCTCTTATAAGATAAAAATAGCCGCAGGGCTGATTATACAATATCAGTGTAAGCATACAGTTTGATAGAAAAATGAATATGACCCATCCTGTTGCAATGCACCCAATCAGTGCTCAAGATGGACTGATGGAATCACTCTGCGTGCACCCTCCAACTAAATCCCAACATATTTCAGAGAAATATCCTTCAATCCTTCAGGAAAAGGAGTATGGGTATATTTACAATATGATAAAACCAAACAATAATAATGTATAAACAGAGAAATAATATGAATATGTGCAAAAAACAGGCCATTGGTGCTTGCTTACATTTCAATATGGATGCATTTATAGTATAGCAGATTCTTATTAGATGGGGCTGATATTCACCAAAAGGCAACGGGGGGGGGGGGGGGCACACTAGAACCCACAAGGATCTACCAGTAGTCATACATACAGGGAGCACACAGGTATCTGTAATATACATCAAAAAAGTATAAAAGAAGATGGGGAGCTTATGGAATATATAAGTCCAGTAGTAGTACCCCAGTATTTATTTATTTTTTTTGTAAACTCAAAGCCAACTATGGTCAATGCCAAGCCAGCAAAGGTAACCTTAGCGCTACCAGACAGCCTGGTACTAATAAAGGGAGAACTCCTGGGGCACGGTGTTACACATGCTCCCCCCCCCCCCCCCCCGGCAGAATGACATCACAGACCATGGATGGAATGACGTCATGCGTCACCTGGCTGTTGACTTGCAAAAGCGGGCTGCTGCATCCCATGGAGAGGACACCATGATGGATCACCATGTGGATCAACAGGGTGGCTGGCAAGAGCGCTTCCTTCACCTTTACCGTGGATGAAGGATTCTGTTTGATTTCTCTCATTCAGCCTGTGGGTGCGGAACAAGTGAAATCTTGTGTATGGCTAACTTAACCCCCTCCCCTATTCTGAAAATGAACTGTTTCAGAACCTGTTACCATTTCAAAATGTACACATACTTTAAGCTCATCTAAAAATTATCCTGAGCAGAAGGCTTTTGCATTTTAATTTTAAAACCATTTGTATTCAGTAACAGAATATAACCTTCATATTTGCTGTTCTTTTAGGGTATGGACGATTTACAGGTTAGAGCGGCCGCTACAGATATATTTTCATATCTGGTAGAATTTAGTCCTTCCATGGTTCGGGAGTTTGTAATGCAAGAAGCTCAGCAGAGTGACGATGTAAGTACAGTAATTGGAGTCCATTTCAGTTCCATTTCATTGACTTTTTTACTTTGTCTAAATCTAGTTATAAATGCTACAGTTCCACAAACTACTATTTTTTATATGGTATTATTCAAAGTCCTTGAATTTGTATAAGATCCACTCATCAGTTTAAGAATACGTAAACCCAACATTTCAAATTCCTGATATTCCTGCTGTACCATGTACTTGTATGAAAACAAAAACTGTTCTTTGTATTCCTTACTTTGTGAGAAATACCTGGTGTTCCTGCCAGTCCCTTTGCTGACCTGTTAAAAAAAAAAAAAAAAAAAAAAAAAAAACTGACCGCAGTAGGCATGAAAGGACAGCGTGGTCTGTTTTCTACCTGTTCTGGGAACTCATCCTGCTCCCCTCCAATGAGCAGACTTGTCCTGACACACCCTCTGCGCAGCTTTTCACTGGGAAGCTCAGTTTTCTGCTGTTTCCCCCCCACCTCTGTGCAGCTGAAAACAGAGGGACTGTGATCACTTATAAAAAAGGGGGGAAAAGTTTTTTTTTTTTTTTTTAATCTATACACAATGTTTTACCTTTTTATTCCTATCTTAAACTAAATGGGTTGCTTTGCAGGGTGAGGGTTTACAATCACTTTAACCACTTGCCTACCAGGCACTTATACCCCCTTCCTTACCAGGCCAATTTTAAGCTTTCAGCACTGCCGCACTTTGATTGACAATTGCGCGGTCATGCAACATTGTACCCATATGAAATTTTGATCATCATTTTCTCACAAATAGAGCTTTCTTTTGGTGGTATTTAATCGCCACTGGGCACTTTACTTTTTGCGCTATAAATACAAAAAGTGCAAAAAATTTGAAAAAAAAAAAAAAGTTTCTTTGTTTCTATTATAAAATTTTTCAAACAGGTATTTTTTTCTCCACTGATGTGCGTTGATGAGGCAGCACTGATGGGCACTGATAGGCGGCACTGATAGGCAGCACTAAAGGGCACTGATAGGCAGTAGTAATGAGGCGGCACTGATAGACAGCACTAATGAGGTGTCACGGATAGGCGGCACTAATATGCAGCACTGATAGGCGGCACTGATAGGTGACACTGATGATGGGTATGATAGATGGCACTGACTGGCATCACTGCTGGGCACTGACTGGGGCACTGACTGGCACAACCCCTGGGCACTGACTGGTGGCACTGACTGGTGGGTGGCACTGGTGAGTGGCACTGTGGGCACAGGTGGGTGGCACAGGTGGGCACAGGTGGGTGGCACTGGTGGGCACAGGTGGGTGGCACTGGTGGGCACAGGTGGGTGGCACTGGTGGGCACAGGTGGGTGGCACTGCTGGGCACAGGTGGGGCGGAGCACTAGTGGGCGGACTGCTGGGCACAGGTGGGCGGAGCTTGCGGGTGGCACTGCTGGGCACCGATCATCAGGGCACTGATCATCAGTGCCCTGATGATCGTTGCCGATCCCCGCTCTGACAACTGCCGGTTCTCGGCAGTACTTTCCTCACGATCTGACAGCGTGAGGAAAGTGCAGCCGAGAACCGGCACTTGCATTTTCCTCTGATCAGCGTGTCATTGGACACCGCTGATCACGTGGTAAAAGGCCGCTGTGATTGGCCTTTTACCACATCACGTGATCAGCTGTGTCCATAGGACACAGCGATCACGGAGATCGCCGGGTGCGCGCCCCCTGGGGCGCGCAGGAGAGCGCGTTCTGGGAGGACGTCATATGACGTCCACCCAGAAATGGCCGGCCGCAGTGCAGCCGTCATTCGGCTATCTGCGGTCGGCAGGTAGTTAAGGTTGTATTGAACTGGTTGCATTGAAATATGTAGCAATAGATTTAGTTAACTGAAAACCAGCACTATAAACTATTTAGCATTCAAATTGTAAAGTATGATGGCCTCTTCTTAAAGCAGCCCATACATTATGCAACAAAATTGCTCGATTCCCCCAACAACAGTGTTGATGGGGGAATCAGTCACATAGCTCTGTGTGTTCTGCCGTTGGGGAACCTTTCCGTGCTGGCAGAACACGATTACTGCTGGCCACTATGGCCGCTGGAAGTAATTGCATGAAAATAATGGACAGGCTGGTTGTACTGCAGTTGATTGGTGAATCGACTTCAGTACAACCAGCCTGCCCATAGATGGATTGAATATCAGCCGGTACCTGCTGAAGTGGCCAAGATTTGATCCATCTATGGCCGGCTTTAGATAACTTTGTTAGCTTTTTCACTCATTGCCTGAAGAAAATGCTTCAAAAGTCTAAATCCAAACTTCTAGTTTTGTCTATTTTTAACACCGTAAAACTCCTGCTGTAATTTGTATGCTGCAACTTGATTGATTTATGTCTGGTAGACTTGGATGTTAGCATAGGTCCCTACACACAGTGGTGTCTGAATGGAGTGCAGATAAAGCTGAAATACATAGCTCCTAGACACTGTTCTGTTCTTGCCACTAGGAACACCCCCCTACCTTTCATTGATTTTGACAGGCTGCTGGCAGTGGACTATTTGCTGCTTCTGTGCCTCTCAGGTGCCCATAAACGCCTGGATTTTTGCTGTACAGGCCAACCAATTGTGTGCATGAGGCATAAGAAAAGCAGAGGTCTCAGTAAGGCTACCACTATCCAGAAACCGATGGGGAAGTTTTATTTCCATTGGAATATTTAACAAGATGCTAATTTTCTTCTCCACCTAAGATTTACATGGTGTGTTTTTCTTTTCCATGTTACAATTTTGTACACCAAATAGCACTGTGCACCTAATAAAGCAATGTTTATTTAATGTATAATTTCTCATCCACTTTCTTTGTTTTGCTTATCACAGGACATTCTTTTAATTAACGTTGTAATTGAACAAATGATTTGTGATACGGACCCAGAGCTTGGAGGAGCTGTGCAATTGATGGGACTTCTACGGACCTTGATAGATCCAGAAAACATGTTAGCGACAGCTAATGTAAGAACATGCAAATGGGTAAAAGCATCTTTTTTTTTTTTTTTTTTTCTTTTTTCCCCCCAAAGTGTGTTAAATGTATTTTTTGGAGCTCTGTTAGTTTTTGTGCAAACCATAATAAAGTTACAGTATATTAAGCTTTTGTTAGATTTTCTGCCTTAACCACTTCCCGCCTGCCCACAATGTACTGCGGCCAGCAGCAGATACAGGCAAAGTGACGCTCTGGCTGTATTAACACGGGCACTCATCGCTATGTGATCACATGATCACAATGTAAGCAAAGCTGTTATGAATCAATTCATAACAGCTCTGCTTCTCTTTTTAGTAAGCTTTGAATGCCCCACAGCTGTCTCATGATACATGGGGCCAATCACAGCACCCTGTGACCAGCTCCAGCCAATCACAGATCACCATCTTGAGCTGAGAAAAAAAAAAAATCCCCCCCCCCCCCCCCCCCCCCCGGGTGAGCAGCTCTGGGCAAAGCAACATAATCTAATTTTCCTATTTCAGGGTGTGAATGCGTCTGCGCCCTGCTACCCCCCTGGTCGGTCCAAAAACGCAGTGTTAGCAGGACCAGTCCCATTCGCTGCCAGCACTAGTGTTTAGCCCCTTCGCTGTTTTTCACTGAAGATTTGTACCAATTGATTGTGGGCCAAAGCAATTTATAAACACAATACATGGCCACCCACCCAAATTCAGCTCTTGCCAGACAATTCTCATGGAAACCTATCAAGGTTTTTGAATTTTAAAACGTTTTTGGGCCTAACCCTCAACATGGGCATTACAAAAAAGATTGAATTGCAGACAGCGGTTGAACCATGCATGTGAGGTAGCGCCACGAACGTCAGATCAAGGACAGTAATTATAGCACTAGACCTCTTGTCTAAATATAAATTGGTGACCTGTAAATGCTTTTAAAACAGCGCCTATTGATATTAAAAATGTATGTGCTTTGTCACCATTGCACGGGCATGCACAGTTTTAAAGCATGCCATGTTTGGTATTTACCCAGCATAACATCATCTTTTATATTTTAGCAAACAATTGGGCAATATATTGTTTTTGTGCATTAAAATTCTAAAAAGTGTATTTTACCCAAAAGATTTTCCTTTGAAAAATCGCTGCACAAATACTGTGTGACATAAAAAATTTCAATACCCACCGTTTTTTATTCTGTAGGGCTGCTGCTTTAAAAATTATATAATGTTTTGGGGGTTCAAAGTAAAAAACTGTGTTTTTTTTTTTTTGTTTGTTTTTTTTTTCATGTGAACAAAAAGTGTCAGAAAAGCTTGGTCTTCAGTTGGTTAGAAGAGTGGGTGATGTGTGGCATAAGCTTTTAATGTTGGCCCTGAAATGTCAGGATAGTAGAAGCACCCCCATCCAAATGACCCCTTTTTGGAAAGTAGACACTCCAAGGTATTTGCTACAAGACATGGTATTCTGCAGATCTCATTTTGTTGCCATGTTTTTTGGAAAACGAAGAAAGAAAGCTAAAATATATGCTTTCTTTTCTTTTTTTCTTTTTCAAAACCCTGTGACAAAAATATCTGTAAATGCTCACTATGCCTCTTAGCAAATTCCTGGGACTGTAAACTTTCCAAAAAAAGGGGTCATTTGGGGGGGGGGGGGGGGGTGTTTGTACTATCCTGGCATTTTAGGGCCTCCGAAAATGTGATAGGTAGTGGGGAAGTGATATGAGGAAATATTCCCTTTGAAAGACTGCAGGTGGTCATTGGATTTTTGGGGCCTGTATGTAGCTAGTCTGCCAAAAAGCCTATTTGGTATCCACATACTCGGAAGAAGTTGGAGAATGCACTTTTGGGGTGTTATTACACATATACGCATGGAATGCATGAGCAATATAACATTTAGGTGACAACTTTGTGTAAGAAAAAATAAAAAAGAAACTTGTCATTTGTTTAAACATTTGTGGCAAAAAAAATGTTCCAGGGCAGCCTTTGTCAAACAAGCAGGGTGCCTTGAGGTTTCTTCAGGGGTGCCTTGGCAAAATTTCTAAAAATTGCCCAAAACTTTTATGTAAGCCAGCTGGTGGAACAAGCCTGCCTTTTAGTTACACAAAGCCACAGGGGGTTTAATTTGTGCAGGCATCCCATTACGACCTTCTAGCTGACCAGGCATCCTGGGGTCACAATCAGTGATGAAAAGAAACCCTAGGAATATTATATTGTATCACTATAGTGCCAAGTTTTTTGCGCAGGAGGTTACAATACAATTTGGTCGGTTGCTTACAATCTGCACAGCATCCTAGTGCAAAAGTGTTTGACCCTCCACTCTCCTCTATCAGTCCTGGGGTCACATTAGCTCAGTGATGGACCCCATTTTAGAATGGGGTGCCTCAAACTGTCCGTAACTTTAAAGGGGCCTTGACATTTTAGACTCAACATGCCTCCCTGCAAAACCCTTGGTGTCTACCTCAAGAAATGTACTGCCCTGGGACAGTCAAAAAATAAAAGCTGTGGAAATTCCAATATACAGTTAGGTCCGTATATATTTGGACAAGGGCACCATTTTCATACTTTTTGGCTCTGGATGCCACCAGAATAAATTTAAAATGGAACGATCCAAATTAATTTGAAGTGCAGACTTTCAGCTTTAATTCAAGGGGTTGAACATAAATATCGAGTACAACTTTTTAGTAACTGCAACCATTTTTATACACAGTCTCTCCATTTTCAGTGGCTCAAATGTAATTGGACAAATGAATATAATCGTGTTCATTTTTAATATTTTGTTGAGAATTCTTTACTGACAATGATTGCCTGAAGTCTGGAACCCATGGACATTACCAAAGATTGGGTTTCCTGATGCTTTGCCAGGCTCTAACTGCAGCTGTCTTCAGTTGTTCTTTGTGGGTCTTTCTTTCTGTGCCGTCCAGTCAACTTTTCTGCATTTGGCTGAATCTGGGCTGACAGTGTATCTCTAAACACTGCAGAATTCATCTGGCTGCTTCTGTCTTGTGTCACATCAATAAACACCAATGACCCAGTGCCTCCACTATGTTTTACAGATGACGTTGTATGCTTTGGATCTTGAGCCTTCTCCGCACCTTTTTTACTTCCTGTCATTCTGGTACAGATTAATCTTAGTTTCATCCGTCCAAATAATGCTTTTCCAGAACTGGTCTGGCTTTTTTAGATGTTTTTTGGCAAAGTCTAATCTGGCTTTTCTATTCTTCAGACTTATGAATGGTTTGCACCTTGTGGTGAACCCTCTGATTTGCTCTCGTGAAATCTTCTCTTGATTGTAGACTTTGACAATGATACACCCACCTCCTGGATATTGTTCTTCATTTGTCTGGATGTTGTGAATGGGTTTTTTCTTTACCATAGAGAGGATCCTGCGATCATCCACCACTGTTGTCTTCCGTGGACGTCCATGCCTTTTTACGTTTGAGCTCACCAGTGCGTTCTTCTTTCCTCAGAATGTACCAAACTGTTGGTTTGGCCACTCCTAATGTTGCTGCTATCTCTCTGATGGATTTTGTAGATTTTGTTTTTTATATATATATATATATATATATATATATATATATATATATATATATAAATTTTCTTTTTTAATTACAACATATTACATATAACAAGAATAAATTACACAGGTCTGCGACTAAAAAGCTGTTTGATTATTTTCATCTAATTTCCATGTATTTTGGTGTGCTGAAAACAAATAAAATATTGATAAAACTCCTAGACGTCATGATTTGCCACAAAATGCAAAATTGTCTTCAAATTTATAAAAAAAATTTATTTTTTTGTTTTTTTTTTTATATTATGGGTTTTTAACCAAATTTAAAGTCCAAATTACTATTAATTAATTCACATAAGTGCATTTAAGATATAAAATGCCAAAAAAAAAACCTTAAAGGGGTTGTCCGAGTTATGTAAAAAAAAAAATATAGCACTGTAAATCTGATGGTCAGCAATATATACATAAGCTAAGCAAATTTTAGGGAAAAAAAAAAATCTATTTCCTCATTTCCCTAGTTCTCTCTGCCCCTCCCCCCTGCAAAGGGTGTGAATACAAGTGCTGCTCTGAGTGACATGTATGTCTGACTACTGGGATACTCAGCAGCATGCTGTATGTGTAAGCCTCAGCCCTGAGTCTGTGCTTCTAATGGTAGAAGGGGTTAATCTTTCCTGAAGAATCCAGTGGGTGGAATACCAAATACCCTTGTTTTCTATGTCTATGGGACAGTCGAGACCAATAAAATCACTGGACCAAGAAGAGTTGGCAGCCGAAGGGTGCTAACAGTCAGTGAAAAAAATGTCCTCCGAGAAACTTTGGTACCTTCCCATAAAGTTCTTCTACCACCTCTCCACATAAAATTGGGATTGATGAAGCAATTTGTAAAATCACTTCCAAGAGATGGAGAATGCTTCAAATACTTGGTCACCAAGTTTCCAGGCCTGTCGGAGGCAAAATTGAAGGAAGGTGTGTTCATCGGACCAGACATTAGAAGGCTTATAGTTGATCAAGAGTTTGTCAATACCATGACGGATCCTCAAAAAGAAGGGTGGATTGCATTTAAAGAAGGCGTACAGAAATGTTTAGGCAATAACAAAGATCCTCACTACAAAAAGATCGTCGGATGAATGCTGAAAGCATTTCAAGCTTTAGGTTGCCTGATGAGTTTGAAAGTGCATTTCCTCCAGTCCCACCTTTACTACTTTCCTGAAAATTTGGGACGGCTGTGAGTGAGGAACAAGGTGAACGATCCCACCAAGACATTAAAGAGATGGAAAGGAGATACCAGGGAAAATGGAGCATTAAAACATGGAGTTAAATACCCATCCCAAATTTCTAACACATTTCGTGTATAAGTGCTCATGCCTTCTACCAGCTTACGATATTGAGATGGCAACCATACCATTCTACTCACTCTGTGTGTTCTATATTTACCCAACTCTTCACATGTGCATTATGTGTCCAATCAAAATGTGATAATACTGAATAATAATATCTCTTAAACTCAGGTACACCTAAACCTTCATTTTCCTTCCCCCTACATAACACCTCGTGACTTATTCTCAGTTTTTTATTTGCCCAAATATATCTTATAATTTTTTACATTTTAAAATTCATTCCTGGGAGCTATATAGGCAACATGTGGAATGTATACAGAATTGTTGGGACAATTGTAATTTTTTATTTGTCCTTTTCCAAGATAAGGATCCTATCATTAGTTTCCTTTAATTCCTCTTTGATCTCATTTATTAATGGGATATAATTTGCTTTATATAGGTTCTTTAAGGATGCTGTTAATTTTATTCCCAGGCATTTTAATTCACTTTCCTTCCATACAAAGGGAAATTTTTTTTGTAAAACTTTCTGCGCAATTTTTGGAACATTAATATTTAAAATATCAGTTTTAGTTGTATTAATTTTTAAGTTTGATAACTCTCCATAATCTTTCATTTTCATTAAGTTGGGCAGTGTCAACTAGGGATTTACCACATAGAATAGAATGTCATCAGCATATGCTGCTACATTGTTCTATTTTCTCCAACCCGAATCCTTTTTATGTCTATGCTATTCCTTATTGTTTTTAAAAGAGATTCTAAAGATAATACAAACCGTAAAGGTGATGATGGGCATCCCTGCCTTGTCCCATTATACATCATAAAAATTTCCGATAACACTCCATTAACCTTTACTGCTGCAGAGGGGTTGACTATATAATTTCCTTATCCATTCCCTCATTTTGGGACCTATCCCTAATAATTCCAGCGTGTCTAACGTGAACCCCCAGTCAAAAGCCTTTTCTCCATCCACTGACAAGAGCAGTACAGGAGCTTTCTCGCTCCTACTTCTTTGTATCAGTAGCAGTGATCTCAGTCCATTATCCCTTCCCTTCCTCCCAGGAACAAAACCCACCTGGTCTATATGGATCCATTACAGCATCAGGTTCTTCAGCCTATTTGCCAGACCTTTTTGCATATAGTTTAGTGTCTATGTTTAACAGTGATATAGGTCTGTAACTTGAACATTGGGTTCCATCTTTACCCTCTTTCTGTATGTTGGTGATATGCTCTTGCAAAGATTCCTCCCTCATTACCGTCCCTTCTCCCAATGCATTTATATATAAACCACAACTTGGGGATTAATTGATCTTTAAATTTTTTATAATATCTTATAGTATACCCTTCGGGGCCCGGGCTTTTCCCTGCTGTTGTACCCTTCAATGCCAGCTGGTTTTCCTCTTGCGTTATCGATTTCTTTAGGCTAATTAACTGTTCTTCTCTTAACCTCGGCAATCCCGCCTCTTTTAGCTATATCTGTCTTTCTCATTCTTTCTTCCTCTTCTTCTATGTGTCATTGAGGGGTAACCTATAATTTACTGTAGTATTTTTTTTTAAATACTTTAGCGATATCTTTGGTTGAATAAACCAGTTCTCCAGTACCATCTCTAATTTTCTCAATATAGTTCCTTGATTTCTTTTTCCTCTGTGTTCTCAATAGGTATTTCCCTGGTCTACCCCCCAATGATCTCTCACTTGCCATCGTGTTAAATACTCTCCTCGTTTCTTCCTCCGTTAAATTACATAGTTCCTGTTTTTTTTTTATTATACATTGCTGAATCTCTTTTGTTAATCTTTTTATTACACCTATCTCTATTCTCCTGATCTTCAAGTTTGCATAGCAGATTCCTCTGTTCTCTTCTCATTTCCTTCATCTGATTTTCCAGATATGCTATAGCTTGGGCGTATTTGTTTAATTTTTCTTCCGTCTCTTCCACCCTTGGCAGTACCTGCCCAAGATCTTTATGAATCTTTGCCATTTCTTGTTTCATGGATCTTTCAAGACCCTTAAACATTTCTGCTATTTCTGCTTTAGTAGGCATTTGTGAGATCTTCTCTTGTTCTTCACCCTCTGTAGGGCTCCACAGGTCTCGGGCAAAGATGATCCTGTCAGCATGATCGGAGTCTCCTGCATGCCAGCCGGCGGCTCCTCTTTCCAGCGCTTCTGTGCGGCGGACCACGTGACCACCCGGTGTCCTCTCACCTTCGGCGGAGTCTGCCTCCTCTCCTGGCTCCTCGGCACCACGCTCTCCTCCTCCACAACTCTACCACGCTCTGCCACTGGCCCACACCCAGTAGGGCACACAAGACATAATCCACTCCATGGGGAACGCACTCCGACTCCGGTAGTTTTCAGCTCCCAGTTAGTTCATACCGGCAGGACAATGGCAGCGCCTAGTTACCGGAAGCTCTCACCATGAGCTCCCTCTTGTCGCCATGTTCAGGCTCCTTCCCCCCCCCCCCGTCCGAGACCAGACATTACATCTGGGTTCCCTGCGGATTTGTTGCATTTTTGAAGCCTTACAATGGCCTGTTTTACTTGCAGGGACAGCTCCTTTGAATGCATGATGTAGGTTCACAGCAATAGATTCCAAATGCAAATACCGCACTCAGAATCAACTCCACACCTTTTACCTGCTTAATTGATAAAGAAATAACGAAGGAGTAGCCCACACCTGGCCATGAAACAGCTTTTGATTCAAATTGTCCAATTACTTTTGGTCCCTAGAAAAAAGGGGGGATGGCTACCCTTAAGAGCTGTAATTCCTAAACCCTTCCTCCAATTTGGATGTACATGTTCTCAAATTAAACCTGAGAGTTTAATTTGAGAACTTGCAGCCCATATACATTATAGAACTATAGCTTGAATATATTTTGGTAAATACCTGAAAAAATCTAAAATTGCGCCTGTCTCCAAATATATATGGACCTAACTGTATATAACAGTTTGCAGACACAATAACTTTCACACAAACCAATTATACATGTATTGGGATTTTTTTTTTTTACCAAAGACATGTAGCAGAATACATTTTGGCCTTTTTTTTTTAATCCTCCCCTTCTTCCAGTCCCTCCCTCTCATCTCCTGATAAGACATATTGTGTGGAGATACTCTGCACATGCTCAGTTTCGTGTCTATTACTGGAGAGGTGTTTTTTTTTTTGTACTTGGGAGAATCTATGTGATCAGCACAGGGACAGTCAGTACTGTCCAGAGGTCAGGGGTTCTGCATCATTTTGATTTATAATATTGATAATTATAATAAAATTAATTTTAGTGCAAAAACACACACTATAAAGGTTGAGGTTGCATCGTGTAAATAGATACCAAACATTTCATGTCTTTAAAATTGCATGTGCCTGCAATATTGCAAAAAATTACAGTGCCCAAAAATCACCATAGGTGACACTTTTACAGCTGAATAGTTTCAAGTTAACTAGGAGCTCTTGAGCTAGAATTATTTGTTCTCATGCAGACGTTCAAAGCAATATGTCACACGCGTAGGGCAACTGCAGTTTATATATCCTGTGATTTGCGTAGGTGTGCGGGGCAACAGGTTTTACAGCAATTTATTTTTTCATTTTTAATATATTTTATTATAACTATTTTTAAAAATCCTTTTTTTCTTTTCTTTTTATTTATTTTTTACTTGATTGGTTAATAAAACCTCTGTGTGATAGCATTTGGGCAGGTGACAGGTACTCTTTATGGAAACATTAGGGATCTAATAGACCCCAATGTCTCCCCTGCCCTTCACACCATCTAAACAAGCATAGATCGGCTTGGTTATGTGTCCCCTGGCTGTACCGGCCAGGAAATGGTGCATCTGAAACCGGAAGTGATCACTTCTGGGTTCATTGTTTGCATGTGAAATGGAGGCATGGGTTTGCCTCAGTCTCTCTGCTGCACTCTCCCTCCCCTAGCCAGTGGTTGTGTTCCCTGGCTCCAATAAGAACAGGAGAGCCCGGGAACCGCGCTCCCAGCTCTGTGAAAGCGATAGTCCGCTATGGAGCTGCCACATCACTTTCAAGCCGGGACCAGCTAAATAAAAATCCATCAGCTTGTGATTAAAGGTTCACTCTTTGGACATGCATGTGGTACATCCAAAGAGCAGAACTGGTTAACGTAAACGTGTTAAGAGAACAGTCAGGAGTAGTTTTATGGCTTTAATGCAAGTAAATGTGCTGTAATAAATATGGACATCAGGTACATCTGAATCAATGACAAAGGATTCATAGCAAAAAGGAGGAAACTTATTTTTTTTTTTTTTTTTTTCACTTTTTTGTACATCTTGTTTTGTTCAGAAAAATCTGTTCTTTTGATTGGTGCAAATAGAAGGCACCTCTGAGAAATGGATCTCTTGTTCCTTATTGGAGATGCCTGTCTAGGATGTAGGATGAAAGAATGAGGCTGCTCCAGAATTAAATAATTTGCCCCGCTTCATAGCAAAGATATTTCTGTATGCTAATTGTGCTGAATCATGGGTTTTTAATAAGTGTACAAGTGGGTAAAACACTTTTGTATCAAGTTTGAGGGAAAAAAATATAAAATCTTCTTTTTTTTTTTTTTTTTTTTTTTTTGCCAGAATTTAGTAAAATTGAAGCTGCCTTCTTGTTGTCATACTTTGTTCTACAGATTGAGTGAAAGCAAGTTGGTCAGCATAATAGCCGAGCAACAAGCTTTTTGGAAAGCGAGCTTAAAAGCGGCAGTCGCCATATTTGTCTTATGACTGACTTTTTTTTTAGGGAATGTTCACATCATGTTTGTTGAGCTGTGTTTTTCAGGTCTCCACAACACATGAATGGTGTGAACATGGCACATAGAAAACGGTGCAAAAGTAAAATGCAGCTTAACAGACATGGTGTGAACAGTAACTTAAGCTATTTATGTATGTAAAATGTTGTTTGTTTTATCTTTCTTCCAACAGAAAACTGAGAAGAGTGAGTTCCTAAATTTCTTCTACAACCATTGTATGCAAGTCCTCACTGCACCCCTCCTGGCAAATACATCGGAGGATAAGCCAGACAAGGGTAAGGTGTCAGTAGTTAACGAATAATCACACGGCGTATTGCAGTAGGCACAAAATTATATTAACTCCCCTAAGTAATGAATTTAGGAACACTCTTGGACAAGTAGTTTTAACATAAACCCTCACATACAGAAGTTATTTCACCTGATCATACGGTAAATGAATGCATTGTGAGATTACATTGTGGGATGCGACCAAGGTATGCACAGTTAGAGGATAGTAGTGTTAGAGCAAGACTATGCTTGCTGGTCAGCTCAGAGCTGTCACAAGGGTGTGGGAAGAAAGTATTCAGCCCCATGTAATTTTCAACTGGTGCAGCTTACGCTAGCCTTTATGCCCTTAGTGTTCTATTTAATTGCAGGGTGTACTATGAAGCATTGGATTGAGAAAAGAGAGACACTTTCGCTAAGCTTTCATTTTGCACTAATAGGATATGATTAACAACTCTTTGCTCTTAAGTACAGGCTTACTTGCATTGTAATGTTATTACTTTTCTGGTGAGAGTGTACTGTTGGGAGTTCTGACTGTAGTTTGAGGTATATTGGCTTGATCTTTTGCATGTTTTATATATTGAGTATATGGTGAATAGGCCTTTTACTTCTGCACTAACACACTGTTTTGTAAAAAAAAAAAGAAAAAAAAAAAGCAGGCAGAGAGATGGACCTTTCTAGAGTCCCCTTTATAAACGTCAGTTCAGACAACATACCCAGGTGTCCAGTGCACCCATGAATGTCTGATCTAAGCTGTGATAAGACCGCTTGGAGCGTAGTCAGTGTACAATGTACAAAGCCAATCAGATGGGCTGTGTACTTTGTGATCTCTGTGAACCAATCACAGTCATCACAAGCGATAAACACTAATGGTGTTTACAGACATTCAGCTCATTCACAATGGCGGAAGCTCCCCTTCCTTGTAAATGAGCTAAAATTTTTTTAAACACAGCAGGAAGGAGAATCTTAGCAGATGAAAGTTAATATTCAGTTATTAAAGTACCAGAGTCCAGCAATGATTGTGGAATTGTTTTTTCAAAGATAAAGAAAATGGAAGTTGAATATTAGCAAACCAAATTTTTGTTGGATTTTTTTTTCCTTTTTATATAAATACCTGAAGAAGGCTCTATTGTGTCAAAAAAATGAAAAAAAAAAAATATAGATTGTGTAGTGTTGCAGGACAGAGCAATCTTTAAAGGATTAGTACATCTTTTACAGAAAGGAATATAAAGGTGAACTAACAGCAAATACCCTTCCATACACTTTTTTTTTTTTTTTTTTTTCTTCATTTTTAACAGCATTGTAAATGGCCTGGTAATGAAGTAAATACATGCTGGTTAGACATATCAAAGTATTTTCTGTGAAATGCTTGTTTTTTCTTTTAAATAACGATTGAGATAAGATTTATTTTAATTATTTTTCCCCAGGAGATACTGCTGTCACGTCGAAGGGCAGCACGATTTGTCCAGGTACTATACATTTGTATAACATTGCTTGATTGATCATACAGTTAGTCCATTTGCTTTTCAATTTGCTGATGAATTGTTTGGTGAATTTCATCATTCTCTGTAGGCTCAGAGGAAGATGTCTGTAGACTGTAATGCTTTTCTCTGTAATTTTCGTAAGACTGTTAACTTAAAGTATATGTAATCCCTCACCTTGTAAAACTACCTATTCAGTTTAAAATGGAAATAAAACATTTTGTGTATACATAAAAAAAAATCTTTTTTTTTGTTTTTTTAGGGGGTTTGTGTTATTTTTAAATAAGTGATTACATTGCCTCTGTACTCAGCTGCTTAAGGAGCAGGGGGAGACACAGCAGCATGCTGGTCTTCCCAGTGAATGGCTGTGAGGGGATGGGGGGGGTGGGTGTCAACAGCAGTCTGATCACTGGAGGACAGCTAAGTTCCCAGCAAAGCTAGAAAACTGACCAGGCTGTGCTTTCCTGCCAATTTGTGGTCCGTTTGTAATAGGAAATCAGAGTGACTGGCAGGAACACCAGGGATTTCACACAAAAGAAGCAATACAAAGAGAACAGGATATTTTTTCATACAAGTACAGTAGTTATAAAAAGTCTACCCACCCCTGTTAAAATGTCAGGTTTCTGTGATGTAAAAAAAATTAGACAAAGATGAATCATTTCAGAACTTTTTCCACCTTTTAATGTGACCTATAAACTGTACAACACAAAAAAGAGAGAAAAAAACAAACTGAAATTTTTTTGGGGGGGAAGGGGGAGGAGTAAACATAAAAAACTTAAATAATGTGGTTGCATAAGTGTGCACATCCTCTTATAACTGGGGATGTAGCTTTGTTCAGAAATAAGCAATCACATTCAAAATCATTTTAAACAGGAGTCAGAACACATCTGCAGTCATTTTAAGTGCCTCTGATTAACCCCAAATAAAGTTCAGCAGTTCTAGTAGGTCTTTCCTGACATTTTCTTAGTCGCATTCTACTGCGAAAGCCATGGTCCGTAGAGAGCTTCCAAAGCATCAGAGGGATCTCATTGTTAAAAGGTATCAGTAAGGAGAAGGGTACAAAAGAATTTCCAAGGCATTAGATATACCATGTGGAGAAAAGTGGAGAAAATATGGCGCAACAGTGACATTACCAAGAACTGGATGTTCCTCCAAAATTGATGAAAACACAAAAAGAAAACTGGTCTGGGAGGCTGCCAAGAGGCCTACAGCAACATTAAAGGAGCTGCAGGAATATCTGGAAAGTACTGGCTGTGTGGTACATGTGACAACAATCTCCTATATTCTTCATATGTCTGGGCTCTGGGGTAGAGTGGCAAGACGGAAGCCTTTTCTTATGAAGAACAACATCCAAGCCCGGCTAAAGTTTGCAAAAACCCATCTGAAGTCTCCCAAAAGCATGTGGAAAAATGTGTTATGGTCTGATGAAACCAAGGTTGAACTTTTTGGCCATAATTCCAAAATATATGTTTGGCGCAAAAACACTGCTCATCACCAAAAGAACACCATACCCACAGTGAAGCATGGTGGTGGCAGCATCATGCTTTAGGACTGTTTTTCTTCAGCTCGAGCTGGGGCCTTAGTCAAGGTAGAGGGAATTTTATTAACAGTTCCAAATACCATTCAATATTGGCACAAAACCTTCAGGCTTCTGCTAGGAAGCTGAACATGAAGAGGAACTTCATCTTTCAGCATGACAACCCAAAGCATACATCCAAATCAACAAAGGAATGGCTTCACCAGAAGAAGATTAAAGTTTTGGAATGGCCCAGCCAGAGCCCAGACCTGAATCTGATCAAAAATCTGTGGGGGGGTGATCTGAAGAGGGCTGTGTACAGGAGATGCCCTCGCTATCTGACAGATTTGGAGTGTTTCTGCAAGATAGAGTGGGGCAAATATTACCAAGTCAAGATGTGCCATGCTGATAGCCTCATACCCAAAAAGACTGAGTGCTGGAATCAAATCAAAAGGTGCTTCAAAAAAGTATTAGTGTAAGGGTGTGCACACTTATGCAACCATATTATTTTTAGTTTTTTTATTTTTATTTCCCTCCACCTAAAATATTTTAGTTTGTTGTTCACCAGTTGAACAATTTTTTTTTCCACATTGAAGGTGGAAAAAGTTCTGAAATGATTTATCTTTGGCTAATTGTTTTACATCATAGCAACCTGACATTTTAAACGGGTGTGTAGACTTTTATATCCAGTGTACATGGTACAGCAGGCACATATCAGGAATAGGAAGTGTTGGGTTTACATTTTCTTTACGGGAAGTTTAGGGAAGCAGGAAAAAGAGAGAGCAAAGGAAAGCACCTCTATGCATATATATTGAGCAAGATTTCATGTAAAAACAGCATCTGAAACTTGTTGATTTCCTTACTGACTTCAGACTTATGTTTTGCAGATAACTATCAGACAGCCCAGCTGCTTGCATTAATTTTGGAGTTACTGACCTTTTTTGTGTAGAGCACCATACTTATCACATCAAAAACTACATCATGAACAAGGATCTGCTCAGAAGAGTGTTAATACTGATGAACTCTAAACATACGTTTTTAGCTCTTTGTAAGTATCAACTTTTTTTTTTTTGTTTTCCCAACCCAAGGTTTGAACTGGCTTGCCAATGCAACATTTGTACTCCTTGCATGTTTGAAAATAAGTTAGTTAGCTGAACTCCAGACAGATATACAAGGGACAAATTACTGCAAATACAGTTCTTCTTTCCTCAAAATGTACCAAACTGTTTGGCCACTCGTAAAATTGCTGCTATCTCTCTGATGGATTTGTTTCATTTTTGAAGCCTTACAATGGCCTGTTTCACTTGCATAGACAGCTCCTTTGAACGCATGATGTAGGTTCACAGCAATAGATTCCAAATGCAAATACCACACTTAGAATCAGCTTCACATCTTTTACCTGCTTAATTGATGAAGAAATAACGGAGTAGCCCACACCTGGCCATGAAACAGCTTTTGATTCAATTGTCCAATTACTTTTGGGCCCTAGAAGCCTTCCTATCCCTCTTGTATTGAACTGTATTGTTGCTGTATTGTCTCCCGTTATATTGTAAAGCGCTGAGCAAACTGTTGGCGCTATATAAATCCTGTATAATAATAGAAGAAAAAGAGGGGATGTCTATTCTTAAGAGCTGTAATACCTAAATCCTTCCTCCAATTTGGATGTACATACCCTCAAATTAAACCTGAGAGTGTGCACTTTCAGCCCATATCCATTATAGAACATTATAGCTTGAATATGTTTTGGTAAATACCTGAAAAAAAACAAAAATTGTGCCTGTGTCCAAATATATATGGACCTAACTGTGTGTGTTCACCAGTATGGTAAATGTGTTTTTATTTTTTTGCCTATTTTCTTTTAACACAAGCAAAGTAAGAACCTGAATTTGGCTGGTATCATTCGCTTGCAATCCCCAGGGCAGTGGAGCTTAGACTGGGAAAGGGAGAAACCGCACAGGGAGCAGATGAACATGAGCTAATTAGGCTGCTGCTTCTACTTTTACTGTCCATTAGCACACTAGGCTAGGGATGAGACTTTTGTGATGTTTACCTGTAGTAGACAGAAAAGTCTCCTCCGCAACCAGACAACGCTGAGCTGGAAGAGCTTCATAAATCTAAAACTGGATGGACAAAATATATAAATCCTTTGGCTGGTATACCAACTCTCAAAAGTACTTTCCCTTTGTGTTTAGCTATTTGTCTGGAGTTCAGCTTTAAAGCAAACTGCGCCCAAAATCCTTGCTAGGCTGTTCTAGCTTCCCTGCCACAACCAGAACAGTTGAGAGACTAAACTTGCCTTTACAGCATGGGTATTCTCTGTATAATTCTGTAGGAATGTCTCACACAGGGCAGGTGACACAGCATGCTTTGCCCTACGGTGGATTGTCCTTTGGAATATATTGTGGTGTTTCATCAGCAGGTTTCAAAGGAAGCAGAGCTAAAAACTGATCTGTCAAAAAGAATAGATCAAGTTTTACTTTTTTTTTTTTTATTTAAATATTTTATAGGACATCATCTTTAGTATGGTTTATAGTATTTTACAGCATTTTATTTTAGCTCTCTTTTTTGGTTTCCCTCTCTCTTAGGCGCCTTACGTTTCATGAGGCGAATAATTGGATTGAAAGATGAATTCTACAACCGCTACATCATAAAGGGAAACCTTTTTGAGCCAGTTATTAATGCACTTCTTGACAATGGTACTAGATATAACCTGTTGAATTCTGCTATAATAGAACTATTCGAATTTATCAGAGTGGTGAGTATGCTATCATCTTTAAACCCACTCGTCAATGAAAAAAAATTAGTTTGTAAAAAAAAAAAATAACCTCGGGTGGATCTAGCCCTGGAAAAAGGGGTAGAGACCCCACATCCTAAAAATCAAGACATTCCAAAAAAGCTCAGTACATATACTTTTTAGGTGCCCCAAAGAGTAATGCACAAAATATTTATAGTTAAAATGTCAGGGAGAATACCTCCCAAATTATACTTTATGCAAAAATGTAAAAACAATACATAAATGTATCCAAAATAAAATTTCTTGGCAGCGAAAATCATATGTAATTTGATCAAATATCAGTGTTGTCGGAGCATAATATAAAGTCCAGTTCAAAGTTGACTGTAATTCCTCAATATGTTTCGCAGGGAACTATGCCTATAACAGGCGGAAAGTGGCTGCTACTGCAAACGAGACAAATGTAAAGAAAGTAAACAAATCTATAATAAACATACAGTATATAGTTTAAGATATGCATAATGATTTCAAAGTTTTTAATTTGTTCAAAGTAATACTAAATTGATTAGTTTCAAGCCTGTTTCAAAGCCCAATTCACATCCCAGCAGCATCTGATAGACACAGAAGAGTATATTTCTAGTGCTGGGGTGATGTAAACCATCTGAGGCATGCTGACATCCATCATGAGCTGAAGTGAGAGGTATAGTAGTTGGTCAGCAGGCACATTCGTGTGCATTCTAAGGCTCCCTGCACACTGGCTTTAAAAAGTTTAGTGTTTTGCCTGTAGCAGGAGCTCAATGTTATCCTATGTGTCCATGCTAATTAGGTAGTCTAGAGGTGTTTTTAACCCCTTGACGCAAATCGCACGCAAATATGCAGCCTCTCGGCGTCTGGGCCTTGACGCCGTGCGGCCGCATATTTGCGTGCAATTAGAAATTACACATATGCTGAGAGCGCGCTCCCAGCACATATGTCTGCTTCTCCCGGAAAGGTCCCGATCTCCACTTCCGATTGGGGCCTTTTCCGATCATGTGACGGCGAATCATGGTGGTCTCATGGCCCTACAACCCCATCCCGCCTCCCGGCTTCTGAAACGCTTAAAGAGCCAGGAGGTGCCGGCGCCAAGAGGTTAAGCTCAGTGTTTAGCGGCAGACAAAAAAACCCGTTTGGTGTTTTTGAGACTGGTTTTTCTAGTAGGAAAAAAACGCTAATACAAAAAAGTGTTTTTTTTTTCTGTGAAGAGCACTGGCTTTTTTTTTTTTTTTTTAATTTTTTTATTTTTAGCCAGTGTGCATGGAGCCTTAATTGGTGCAGTTTAGTTTTACTGGGCACTGGTGTTACCATATGTAGTTTAAAGTGAATTTGTGCATTTCCCACACAGGGCTGAGGAAAGGGTTCCCATTAATGCAGAACTCCACAGATGCATATCCTTTTCACCCCCCACTGCTCCATTCAGCTGCTGGGAGAAAAGGAACAAAAGAAAAATCCTAATAAAAATATTTTTTGGAAGAAAAAAAAAAAAGAAAAATCTGTGTAAGCTATGAGTCTGCAGAGACCTAGTTTTATGCAGAGCTGTGGACTCCCCATTTGATAGTACTGATTGTCCCAGGCACTGATTGTGTTGAACAGGGCAGTGAGAGGAGCAATATAAAGGTAGTTACATGCTGATAGGGAGAATAAAGCAAACCTGTTTTGCCCTAAAATATTATTGCACAGATATAAATTTAATTTGTATTGCTCAAATTGATTTTTTACCCTTTTTTTTTTTTCCACCCTTCCAGGAAGATATAAAGTCTCTGACTGCACATATAGTGGAAAATTTTTACAAGGCACTCGAGCCTATTGAATATGTTCAAACCTTCAAGGGGCTGAAAACAAAATATGAGCAAGAGAAAGATAGACAAAGTCAGAAACTAAACAGGTGAGTCTGATGCCATTTTATTTTTTGGACGTATTCACATTAGGAGCATGTTCCAGTTGCAGATGTAAGGAGATGCATTGTTTTTTTAGATGGGAGTGTACACAGTAGGGCACTGTTTCGGAGCATTGCAAAAATCAGCCCGTTGTCTTTTCCTAATAGTGTTTAAAGCCAACAGTTCATATCCATATATGTGTGCCCAACATTTTCTGCTTTTCAGCTGTGATTGGATCAATGAGCCATCAGTACTGGTAGCTTTGCAGAATTTTCTGATGAGCTGAAAAAATCCTATCTAGAACAAGTTGTAGTTTTTTTGGTAAAATTAGGAATCTTTTTCTATTGCATATATCACTGCTGTCTTCAGTTTGACCATCGAAGGGCAGTGTTTGTATGCAGAGCCATTTGTACAGGTAGAGGCAGTGATTTGCAAAGTAAGGATGGGTGAATTTGTATCTGTAAGAGAGACTCCATTGTCAGGCTAGGCTAGTGGAAAACCATGCAGGCTGGATTCAAACCCATTGTATGGAAACACATGCTGAGCATCAATGTGCATTGTAATGCCTTTGTGACTTCCTGTATAAAGTGCTTTTCATCTGCATTGTTTTTTTTATACGTTTCTGTTGGTGTCAATGAAAAATGCATTGGTGGAAATCCAGCTGCAAGGCTTGACATTCGGAGTTTAGAAGTGTTGAACATGATTTGACATTTTGTTTTCAGCAGAAATGGTTTGCTGTATATGAAACAATATGGCTCTTCACTGAATACACTCTTTTTCTACTTATTTTTACAAAAGCACTAAAGTGTGTTTCTCTCATAAAAATATATTTAAAGGCATTTTGTTTTTTATTTTTGGATAGAATGGGGGAAAAAGGTTAAAAACGTCAGTTTTTTTTTTTTTTTTTTTTTTTTTTTTAAACGTTCCATTGGAGTTATTTATCTTCTTTTCCCATTGGCACAACCTAATGCTACAGAACAAGTTGCCCCACTTGAAGATTTCCCCTTGATTTCTGTTCTGATGGCAACCCAAAATATTGGATTTCCCATCATTTTTCTGTCTTGGTCATCACGACACATAGGTGAAAAGGATGGATCTCCCTAGCAGGGACACTGGCAGCAATAGAAAACTAACAGAGGTTCTGTTCTTTAGCTACTGTGTATACCGTATACGGAACAAGAGGTTTGGGCTGTAAACTATTTGTGATGAAGATAATGATAATGCTTATTATTATTTATCTTGTATAGTGTACCATCTATATTGCGCAGCAACAGATTTCGTAGGGATGCCAGAGCACTGGACGAAGATGAAGAGTTATGGTTCAATGAAGACGAGGATGAAGAAGGTGAAGCTGTTGTACCGCCTGTTGAGAAGTCTAAAGCAGAGGATGATTTTCCTGACAGTTATGAGAAATTCATGGAAACAAAAAAAGGTAAGGATTTGTTATTAAAGAGCAGCTTTACTCAAACGGTTGGCTTTATTTGGTTGGCAGGGTTTGATCCTCTTACAGTGTTTTTGTTTTGCCTGAAACGTCAGATGGGAGTTGCACACTGCCATGATAGGTGTGTTGGGCAGAGTTTGGTTTTGTGGCACAGCCATTGTTATTGACCTAGGTGATTTTGTCTATTTTTAAAGATTCCGTTATAAGGAGAAACATTTCAACTTGGATGAAACAATTCAGACCACTGGTCATAGCTGTACTGGGGGTAATCACCCTGTTGGAGTACAAGCTACATTGAGCAGCAAGTTGAGGATCAAACTTTCATCCATTGAAGATGGCTGTTTGCCTACACTTTGTTTTTCAATTTGTTCTCTTTTTAAAGTGGCGCTTGACCCAAAAGGGGATGATTTGCTTTACAGCCTCCTCCCCTGCTCCTGTTCAAGAAATGGCGTGTGTGTGTGTGTCTGTGTGTGTGTGTCTGTACCTTTTTCACAGGTACCCGCGCACCTAGGCAGTCGGAGCAGACGTGCTCCAATCCGTAACACTCCCTGCCCCCCTCTCTCCGCAGACACGTCCCAGAAGACTGCAGGACCATTTACAATGTGCAGTGGGCATCTGACTGAAGCCACAAGCTGTCACAGCTGGGTGCCCACAGTTAGGATGCTGGTGCCTGGGATTGAAAGGGGGGGCGGCTGGAGTGAGTGCAGTGCTGGATCCTAGAATAGTTGACTGTCACAAGTCAGCAGCTACAGTTTTTGTAGCTGCTGGCTTAAATTTTTTAGAAATATGACTTGAGCTCCTCTTATAACAATGTTTTTACTTGCAGCACATACTTTCCTTTTTTCGTTTCCCCTGCCTGAACTGGAATGGAAAGCACTATGTAAGCAGGGCCACAGGCTGCTGTCCTGACTATTTGTGACAGCACTAGGCCAATCGGCAGGCACCAAGCTTTGTCCCAAAAGAGGTGGAGTGAGGCATATGCTTGCTCATACCTGAAAGTGCTGAGCATTAAATTTTAGCATCTAAAACGGAGCAGTATGGTAGCGAGAAAAGTTGATTATTAGCTGCTGGGGGAGCTGCAAAAAAAAAAATGTTTAGATACATATGGTATAAAATCATTTTAGTATTTATCTACAACACATTTGGCTTTGTAATCACAAAATGATGGATTTCACTTATTTTAGCTAAGGAAAGTGAAGACAAGGAAAATCTTCTAAAAAGGACTTCAGTGGGAGGTTTCAAGTTCACTTTTTCTCACTCGGGCAGTTCAGCTAATGGAGCAAATACTGCGAATAGTAAATCGGTGGCAGCTCAGACACCAGCAGCAGGGTCTAACGGCTCATCTTCCAAAAACATCAGCTTAACTACCACCGTAGCATCTGCTAAGGTAAGACTTCATATATTTGCATGCTCATCACATGCTTTGGAGTGTTCCATGTTACTAGGTATTCTATTGCCATTCCCAACCTTTATGCATTTTCAAAGAGTCAGTTCACCCAAAAAACTGTTTCTATTTTTTTTTTTTCTTGTTGTATGAAGGAAATTCAGATACAATCTGGTTATACTGCCACCTACAAAAGAATTGGAATCTAGCAAACAGAAAAAATCCAGTTTCTTTCTCATACATCCAGGCAGTGTTGCCAATCGAACAGATGGAAATTCACTGTCATGACACCCAAATGTTACTGGCACAGCCACATTTTTACTGGCATTACCAAAAGTTAAAGTGTACAGCATGCCGTCCATTGAGAGCGCAGTGTTCATGTTCTGGTGAGGTCACCGGCTGCAACTTAAGTATCTCCTAAACGGTGCATGTTTATATTTACTCTTCCTGTAGGCACAAGATAAACCAGCGGACTTTACTACCACTTAGGAATTTTGTTGAGAACATATCCATTCAACTTTGAGCTGTAAACTGGTTGGAATAGATGCCTCGAAACCTCCCTTTCTCTGACATAGGGTGTGATGACCCCCTAAGACAGCAGATTTTCCAAAGCTGAAATGAAAACCACATTTTTGTGCCTCTGAAGATACCCTTGATTGCATAAGGCACGAAGAGGTGAAAGCCACCTCCGGACCCCACGCTGCAGACCTTGTCGTGTGTGACTTCCTGAATCTAGACAGCTGCGAAGGCCGATAAGCGTCCGATTCTGAAGGTGGCACCAGTGTATAACTTCATATTTGCTTTTTTAAGGGTAAGAGTGTGCTTTTCCCCACAGTCAACATCTGGATGAAGGCATCCAAGGACACGCACCCTCAAAGAGCAATCTCTTGAGCTTGCAGAAAACTTCTGCTGACCAGCACTTGGCCATAGAATCCTAGTGGCCAGATATGGTGCCCAACTGGGAAAACTACTGTGTAGAGTCTTGACGAAGAATCCAAGGCTCTCAGGAAATCTTCCACAAATTGCTAGATGGCAGAACTCCTGGGTCTGATGCTCTGGAATGAAGCATATGCTTTCCCAAAGGTTTGAGGGCTTTGCAGACTCTCACCACAGGCTGCAGAGCTGCTCCCACAAGAGAGGATTCCTTAAAGCCACGGACAAGAGGTTAGAGGGTCTTTTTAAAGACCAGGATCTGATCCATCGTGAACATCAGGGTCTTATTCAAGTTGAAAATGGTTAGATCAACAGTCGAAGAACCCCAATTGTAGAATTCCTCCTCCATGGGGTACTGCTGAGAAAAATGCTTTGAAGTAGAAAAAAATAATCCTTTGGGTGAGCCCAATCTGCATACATCACTTCCTGCAAGTGAGGATGCACTGGAACATTTAGCATTAGATGGTCTGTAAGACCCTAGTCCCAGGTAAATGCCTGTGTTTTTGGCCAGTGTCCATTCACCTGAATATAGCAGTAATAACAAGCAATCATTATGAAGAATTCTGATATAGAATTAAGAAAGCAGCATTTTAAAGAAGTTTGTCATAGGTTTAGTGTTGGTGAGCTTCTATTGAAATACTTTTGAGATTGAATGTATATAGTATGCGAGAGGCTTCATCAACATTTTACACCTGTCTGGTGAATTGTCATTCCTAACTTTGCACTGTTTTTCAATTAAACAGAATAGTTTCCTTTTTAATTGAAAGCATTGAAGTTGACATTGTTTTTGTTAGCAGGGAAGTCTTATTGGTTTGGTGGATTATCCTGATGATGAAGAGGAGGAGGAGGAAGAAGACACGTCCCCAAGAAAGAGACCACGGCTTGGATCTTAAACTGATGCTCATCAACATTAGTGGCAACTGATGTCTGAGTGTTTAGTGCGAGTCAGGACATTTTCCCTTGAACAATATGGAAGTAGCCAAACTCCGCTAGAAGGTTGTCAAAGCCAAGCTTTCCTGGGAGCCCTTCCAGTGAATCCTTGTAGGGTTAAAGGGGGTTTAAATGATGAGTTAGCAACGACAACCAAGATGATTGCTTTATTGCAACTTCAGCATCTTGCGTCTGGGATGGGGAATGAATGGATCATTTAGAAGGACATCTATTTTAATGTTGCAGGGTTACCCTAAAATGTCAACTAGATGAAATAAAAGCAAAGAGCTTTCAGTTGCATACTGGTAATCTTAGTTTTTTTTAATGGTGCTGGCCATAGTGTTTTATCAGTTGCCTATTTTATATTAAAGAAAAAATATATATATATAAAAAAAAAAAAAAACCTAAGGGAAGGAGATCTATCACTGAAGGCAAAAGAAAAAAAACACAATGGAAGTATAACCTCGGGACCATTATTTGTAAATTCAATTCCCGCCTGGAGTGGTAGGGATGGGAGGGGGATGACACATTGTAGTGCATGTTAAGTTTTAAAGAGAACGAAGAATCTTTTTTCAGTGTGTATTTTATTAAAAAATCGAAAGAACAGACAGATGTAATATAAGTAGCCCGTCCTGCATAACTGCACTTCCACTAATACTGATGCCAAGGATCAGTAGCTTCCGAATTTTAGTCTGGAAACTGCCCGGTCGGCCTCCTTACCAGTGCCTCAATCTCTTGCAGTGTTACGTTTTTTGTTACATGAACAATGTGTATTTGTTGTGTTCTGCTGCTGTCAGCTCCCTTGGTTTGAGAAGATCATAGCAGTTTTTTCTTTTGTCCATACTATACGTTTAGGACTTAATTCACCATGGCTGTGAACAACTATACCAAAGGGTTAACACCGCACGCAAAGAGTTACCAGCGGCCATTTTGTTCAGTAACACTGAGACTGATATATGCAGCCCACAGTATCTTCAGCAAAAGGTGATATACAGCTGCTTTTAATCCCGTCGTTTTATACATAGGAATCCACAGCACATTCCACAGATGTAAATGGATAACAATAAAATAAAAGCGTAACCACGTCTTTGTAGTTGAGAACACTTTTCTTTTTTTTTTTTTAACACAAATTGTAAATAATTTAATATCCACAGGTATATGATCTGAGATCATGCTGAAGAGCTTATTTCCTTTATCATTTGAGACATACCCGAGACAGACTCAGTCCTCACCCGCCCTCTCGTCACGTCAGCAAATCTGTTTCTCTTGGAATTATTTGAAGCAGTTTCCTAATTTTGGAGATTTTATAGTTTTAATTATAATTTTAGCTATTGGTTGGAAAGATGGGCTGTCTGTGTAGATATGAAGTATAGTTCTTTTTTCCATAAGAAAAAAACAGAAGTTTATTTTGTATTAAATACCACTGTACTTGTTCTACACCATTTGTATACATGTGGTGATATTAATGCTGAACTGTAAAATTCAGGAATTAAAATGTGACCCTGTAATTCCAAAATTTGTTTTGGCTTGCTTGATTTGGTATGTAGGGCTGATTTTAACCTGATAACTGCTCCCTGACCACCCTATAGCAGAACTACTGCTACAGGGCGGCAGGGCTGTGCAAAATCACATGTATATATGGCTGTCGATCACCACGTTCCGGACAGATTTTCTGCTGGCATCCAGCGGTCACCCAGGAACACTGACAGAGGAGAGGTCTGCATGTAAACAACACAGCTCTCTCCCCTGTCAGCACCAGCATGCTGCTTTGTATTGCATAGCAGCGCAATACAAAGCAGCATGTTTACATAGTAAAACACACTGCTGATTGGGGAATTTGTCCCGCAGACCTATTGTGTTCTCGCTGCAGGCAGTAATTGCATTCTAAAATCCGACATGCTGGTTATACCCAAGTCAATTGGTGGATCAACTTTGGTGCAGTCAGCCTGTCCATAGATGGATTGAATCTCAGCTGGTCTCTGCTGAACCAGCCAAGATTCAAGCCATCTATGGCTGGCTTAACAGTGCAGAGGAAGGATTCTACTGGTGTCTAGCAGTCTCTGTCCAGGAATATAACCATACATCTGTGAAAGGAGCACACCTCCACTGTGGTCATGTGAGTGCATATTGTTTTTAATAGTTAAATAAGTTTTATTGTGCCTGACACTACTTCTATAGATGGGAACATGCAACAAATACAAAGTAAGTGTTGTCCCAATTTTGGCTGCAAAATTAAAAATGCACTGAGGTAAAACACAAACGGTCTCTTCCAGTTTGTCTTGTACCCATTTTTTGAGAAACCCATAAAAAGTGCACTGCCTTCTCTGTGAACCCAACAGTATCCTATCTTAAAGTGTTGACAATCCCAATGGAGGATTCACCTGCCTTTTAAAAACCTCTTCAATAAACTGCATTAGGCCCTGCAAGGATTCAACCTAAGTCTGTAGCTCTTTAAATGTCCTTGGATATTTCCAGCCTCTGAGCTCAGGAGAAATAAAGCTCCAGACACCAAAGTGTGCAAGCTAAATCTCTGTAAAAACTGCTAGTACGAATTACACTTTCAAGGCCAGAATGACCAATGAAATATTGTAATGACCAATTAAATATTGTACTCTTAGCAACTACAAATGACTGAAGACTGCCATATAAGACCCGTTCCGTTTCTACAGAATGAAAACTGAATTCATGAAACCGTTTCATTTTTTCATGTCACTTGTAACAACCCTAACTTGTTCATACATCTAAAATGGAGGCATTATACAAAATTGATGCCAGTTAAGACATTTTTCCTTACAGTTCCTCCCATTTGTCACGTAGTGACAACACATTACATTTCACAGTTGTTTCCAATATGCATCCTGGTTCGCAAAAAGCTTGTTAAAAATGCACATTTAGCAGCGACATAAAACATAACTATTAGAAAAAAAACATAATAAAATCAGCATCCTACTTTCTTAAACCATCCAAAAATATCTCCAAAACTTCCCAACCCTTTAAAAGGGTTCCAGTCATCTTCGGCTATGGATCAAGCTTGTAAAGCATTTACCTGGGTCTATGATTCTCAATCACTTCATAGTAGTCAGGAATCTCAGCAGATGTGTTTTTGTATCCATGTACAACACTCATAGTCAGTAGTGGATTCACATAGCCTGGTCAATGCTGCTCCCATTTGTTCTATTTTCATTTCATTCATGAGTACCTGTTTTCTTAATTCCCGTAGTTCAACATTCAAAAGACTCACTTTTAGTTTCATTTATAATCTGTTTTATAATGAATAATTGTTTAACCTTCTCATCAATGCTATCCCCTGCCCAGTCCATGCAGGGAACCATGACCAGGCTTGGTC